AATACATAATTCAATTCCAAATTTTCAACGATAATAAAATAAATCTATTATAAAAATCTATAATCATTACAAATTACTATAGATTATTTAATTATTATTAATTAATAATATATTTATTATATATAATATATAAAGATTTTAAATATATTTATTGAATAAAATCCAAAAATATCAATATAAAAATAAATCATCCAAATAATAATCATATAAAAATAAATATTAATATAATAAATATATTGAAATTAAATAATTATTTTAACTATTTATAATATCAAATTATTTTAAATTTTTCCAAATTTTAAATTTTTCCAAATTTGGCACGTCCTCAAGAGGTCTTGTTCCTACACAAAATCAAATTCAATTATCTGTCAAATGTTTGATCTCCATTCTAGAATTTAGGGTATAATTTTAGAAGGAGTCCTTATAAATCACCCTACTATTTGGGGGGCGTAGGTACCTAATTCTGCAAGGGAAATTACAAAGGAGATCCTTAATTTATATGACTTTAGATTTTGTCCAATTCTTCAGTAATACATCAGATTTTTTCAAATATCTTTTTGACAATTATCCGAATCTGAAGACAGGTCGCGCGGAAGTCTCCAATGCCAACATTTTTGTTTCTTGCGGAAACGATTGTAAGGAACCAAGTCTCTCGACCAAGTACAGCCGTCCAGCAATTGCAATGGAAGGCTACGATGCGCCAAACGTGTTTCCCAGATCGCCTTCAGTGACGCCTGCAAAGGTTTCTCGGCGTAGCTGCTGAAGTTCTCAGTGTCATCACCATGGAGGAGAGTCTCTGCAACAAGACCCAAGCAAGATGACAAAGCATGCCTGGTGAGTTTCAAGCCACCTAAACAAATCAGTTATTGCATGTCATCATCCCAAATAGGAAAAAGATGGAAATAGAAAGAAAGAATGGTTGAACCGTTTTTGAAACCACCAAGCAGGGACTCATGGTAACCACCTTCCAAAGCCAGCAATAAGCGACCTCCACAAAGCTTTCGCGCCAGGCCATTGAGTAAGCGGGTGATCCTTGCAAAACCATCAGCTGTGCACTTGGCTTCCCCCAAAGGGTCTTCATCCATGGCATCAAATCCTGCACTGACCAGCAACAAATCCGGCCGAAAGCGCTCGGCAGCAGGGACCAGCACGTCTTGACATGCACACAGCAGACATGCATCGGTGTATCCTTGGGGTAAGGCCACATTCACCGTATAGCCAAGGCCACGTCCCACACCAACTTCCTGTGCAGAGCCGGAGGCTGGGTAGAAGCCCTTGGAAAACAAATGCCTCAGTTGTTGCCGGCTTCTCAGAGACAAAGAAGTACCGAAAATGGGGGTGGCAACTCGTATCCAGTTGGTTGGATTCGGGCAACTTAAAACATGATGCAACATGAACATATGAATTCTGCACCAAGATTCATACTGACAAAGAGCACCCTGGAGTCTTTCCAGAAGACTTCCTGCGTGCCTTGCCCATGATGAATGTCCCAATCAAAAATCAAGACTCTCTTGATCAACGCTGGGTACCTGCATCGCCCGAAAAACCACTAGGTCTGTCTGAAAATGGTGTATGTCCCCAACTCTTTGAATTTGGAAAATAATGATGAATTGATTTTGGGATACCCCATTTGGCCGTACTTTCAAATAAACCCACTGACTCAACAAAAAAACACCACCATCGTCGCTCTGCACATCTCCGGCCTGCGCAAAGCATATCGGGCGGCCAGCGCCACATTGTTCACCAAACAGAAACCGGTGCTGCTGGTGGGCCCTGCATGGTGTCCAGGTGGTCGACACAAAGCAATTCCACCAGCAGGACCGCTTGTGACACTCAGATCCACCAGCTGAAACAATCCTGTCAGGCCATTGGATCGATGCCACGCCCCCTCGAAAAAAGTGGAATATACGGAATATATGAATCAACTGGGATGAGATGAAAAAAAAACAGCACCCAAAACTGAAATGTAGTCAAACTTCGTTCTGTTGCAACATCTGTTTGTTTTCCCTGTGCTTTTTAAATCAACCTGGCCACATCAAGGGTGACAACGCAGTTCCAAGCCTCCAGCTGCCTGTCTGGCCGCATCCAGCGAGGTGCTGGTCAGGAAGGTGTCTTGCCCAAAACCGCGTGCACGCAGCAAATCGGCCTTCGAAGACTTTTCCTCAGCGAAGCAAGCGGCCTCGCGGCCTTCGTCATAGTGCTGGGGGAAGCCACTGAGTATTGGGCACTATCTGAATATCCCATATATTGGACATTATCACAATATCACATCCCAATTCATGGATGATTGTCTGATTATCTAAATCCCAACCGGAAATATCTTGGATCCTGGTTCGTCACACCCCAACTCATCAACACTCATCAACCAGTGACAAGTCTCCAGGCATCCCTTCACCGGCAACCACACCAGGCCGCCACTTGCTGCCAGCTGCGCTCGTTTCAAGCCGGCCACCTGCGCCTTGCTGTGGACCAGCTGCAGCTCCTCATCTGTGGCGCTGCGAGGCGCCAGGATGCGAAGCTGCCGCGCCAAATGCAGGAGTCCTGGAGAACGGTAAAATGGGTTGGAAAGGCAGACGAAACATTTTGCAGATCTCTTGAGGGTTTTCAGTAGCTTTTATTTTTTGGGGTAGGAGTTTGGTTTCCCTTTTCATTTTCACGGTTGTGAGAATATACTCTTCACATGGGTTGTGGACAACCAAGTGCATTTGTTGTTCTCTCGTCTGCGGGAATCTGCAGCTACTCACTAAGATGTTCAAATTCATTGAAAGTTTCGGCTACTATTCAGCCACAAGTCACCAAGCATCTGAGAGGAATCAACAAAAGACCAAACCTGAATGACCAGAATCACTTTTTGATCACAAAATATCACAAAGGACCCTTTGAACTCCCGAAGCACAGCTCCCAAATTTTTGGTGTTGCACCGGTGTCCAGAAAGGCAGGCATCCAGTCGTTCCGGCTTGTCGGCATGTTCCACCTGGCAGGGCATCACAGGTCGCCGATGGCGAACATGCCATGACTTGGTGGAATCCCTGCAACAAGTGGGGCACCGGTGGCGAAGACATCCAAAAGAAGGAGGATGCAAGAAAGAAACATAGTAAATCCATGTAAATCCAAACAGTCATGCAAAATCACGCAAATATGCAAATCTTTCGCCTTCTGAAAATCGGGATGTAGCTGACAAATCAGGCGCTATTGACATTGTGTCACTGAACGTCCTTCATCCATAACCTTCATCGACATTTGTAAAGTCATCGCTGCAATGGCCACTTCAGGAATCTAAATTCCAGGTACCTACCCTATGTGAAGGCTGATATACCTCCAAAAATATGGCTTTATATGGTACAGTACCTCTATTTTAGGGTCCTGAAATATCGTGACGCACATTTCAAATGTTCGATACATTTGAGCTATTGTGGACTCAATCTGGCAGAAACTCCTTTTTGGAGGAAAGTATGGTCACCAAAATGTCCGTCATGAAGCAACAAAAAAATAGAACCCCTTTTTTGGTGCAAAAAAACAGACCTAAAAAGGATACATCTTCAGAACATATGAACGTGCCTTCTCGTAGAACAAGAAAAACCCAAACATAGAAACTGTTTATGATATATATATATATTAAAAATCAAAAACAAAAACAATGTGAAATCTGCTCGGTCAACGACTCCTTTCATGAAGTAAGCAGAACATTGAAAAATAAAACCACACAAAAAAATCAAGCCAAACAATCTTTAGGGTTTGTGTTTTTTCAATTCGGATTAAATCCCGTCCGTCGAAACAGTTTGTATGGCCTGCACAGTGGAGTATACGTTCAGCCGAGCACGACTACCCGTAAAACCCGCCATCAACTAGGATAGTGGCACGTAACCATCAAGTAGGACAAGTACAGTGCGACCATTAACTCAACCAGTTGACTTTCACCTCAAGCAAGTAGAATTCAAGTAAACTATATCGTGATCTGTGATATATCATGATATACAGTATTTATACATATGTGTATATATATATAAATACGTATATATATATAAATACTGTATATCATTGTAATTAAATCTTTCGCGGGGGAATCCTGCAGTGATTTCTCACCACCAAATCCCAAACAGTTTCCACCGCGACCGCGCCTCCTGAGGCACTTCGTGCGTGGGACCCTCCACCAGCTGCGCGCACGCGATAGCCAGCCGCCGCGGCATGGCATAGCCATGTGCTGCTCACTTGGTGGGGTTCGGTGTCCAGCACATCTGGTATGGAAATTTCGCTGTGATATGCAAAGCCACAGTTTCTGGGACGAGATTAGGGTACTAAATGTATCTATGTTTAAACATATGCATTTGCATGTACATGTACATGTACAGATACACATACAGAGGCTAGCTAGATAGATTGAATGACAAATACGTATGTGGGTTTCAATAAATGGGAGGTACAAGAAAATTGGTGCTTTAAATTTAAAGTGGTAAATCCTATTAAAATGGATGATTTAAGGGTAGCCACATTTTAGGACACCTCCATATCACGAGGATTCACTGGGCTGACTGGAAACCCACAAGTCCAACGGACCAACGAAGCGACCGTAAGGCAGTCATGGTGGTGAGTGGTGGGAAATTCCTTCCTATATCTACCAGAATTCCATTGAATATGACCTTTGTTTATGATGTCCTTGGTCTGCTGTGTGTGTGTCTGAAGCTGCAGCCAAGGATGGTTTCACCTCAGAGTTTCACAATGAGAGACTATTTCTGAAAAATGCAGAAAGAACCTGCAGCATCACACCACGGTGGTCGAAGCACCCTCTTCCATGTCGAACATATCTCTTGTAAGTCGATCATCCGTTCCATCATCTGTTCCTACATCCGAATGGTGATATTCTCCAAACTGCTTGCACTCCCAGCCAACCCCACTTGGACTGCCAAAGAGTCTTTCCAGCAGACCGATCAATTTTTTTCCCAATCACCGGCTGTTCGTCTGTTGCCAAGTACATTGCCTGCGGCTTGGAGAGCGTTGGATAGAAACTGGAAAAAATCGGCCAGGAATAGGACAAATTCGTTTAGGGCTACGAGTGAATGGCTGATGGCTGTGAGACTCTGGCTGTAGTTGTTTCTTACATGAAGGACCATCCACCAAATCTACAGGGATCCAAGACTATGAGATGTGAAACCAAACCCACATGGACATCCCTTAACCCCAAGTCCTAGACGATTTATCATCCACACCTATTGAATTTCACGGGTTAGAATCAGAATTTGCGATAACTGGACCCTCGATATGTGTTTTGAGGCTATGCATTTAAAAATCCGACGTGTTATCCGGTTTACCTTGCCCAAACGAAACTTTGAACGCATATTGTTAATAAATTTCATCATGTGACCAGTTCATCCAGCGAAAGGGTATTGACTTTGGCGCATTGGTTTTGACCCATTGGTCGAAGGCCAGAATTGACACTCTGCACCTATTCCTGCCCTTCAACGCCATTCCTGGCACATTACACATTCTTGTATGATGAATTTGAACCCGCATGATCCATCAGCAAAACAAAACCTTCAGCACCCTGCAGTTAGGAATTTGCTTAGGCAAATCATATGAAATTCCAAATCGGAAAAACATGATGATGGGAACAATCAATTTTGCAAAAAATGGTTATATTCAATTTCAAATCCAAATGTTTCCTTCCAAATCAGCAAGTAATATCTAAACATGTTGAATCGAAATCATTTTTTTGATTCGAAATCTGAAATTCAGGGTTCCAAAATATGATGATCAAACAAAAAAATATGATTCCAACATCTATAACACTGGCTGGCACTGCGATCGCGCGAATTGTTTTGGGCGTCGCGGCCGGCCACGCTCGGTTCCCTTTAGAGCCGTAGAACCCAGCAGGTGTTCGCTGGCCCCTGGTTAAAGTATACTGAAGCCGTCCAGGATTTCTTCTTAATCTTGGAGCGAAGCCGCTAGGGTGAAATTGGGCAGGAGAGACATGGGTGTGGTTCTGGGTAGGGGGATCACTTAGAACCAACGGATTGGGATCACTCAGAACCACCCGATCACTTAGAACCAAGAAGCATCACTTAGAACCACACAAATAGGATCAGCAGAACCACCAGTCCAGATGTTGATGGTTGAGGCTGCTGCAACCAGCATAGTGGAATGAGACCTTTAGGGTAACACTTGGGGACATGGGGCTGGGACATCGGGTGGGTTTAGGGGACCAGCATGGTGGAATGAGACCTTTAGGGTAACACTTGGGGACACAGGGCTGGACATGGGGTGGGTTGGGGGGACAAGTGGGGACGTGGGGCTGGGACATGGGGTGGGCAACTCATTCTGGACTTTTTTATTCTGAGGCAACTCATCCATCAGACAATTTCATGCTATTTCTTGGAGAATACCTTCTGATTTAAATTATTCAAGCTGGTAGCACGCGCTGAAAATATGTATTCTCAAGTTATATATATGTATATACAGATTTGAGGTGAGGTAGGTGCCTCGGTTGTACACGCGAAAACCCGACTCGGCTGTACACGCGAGAAAGTAACTCATTTGTTCACGCGGATGCTGATGCGTATGACGGTGCTGACGGTGATTATGAGGATGATGAAGAAGAAGATGATGATGATTTTCATTCTGATGATGACGGGTGATATCGCTGCTGTAGATGATCTACCAGCCAATGATGATGATGCTGCTGATGATGATGATGATGACGATGATGATGATGATGATGACGACGACGACGATGATGATTCCAGGACGGTTCTAAGCGAGCCAAATTGCGCAGTTCTAAGCGATCCAAATCCCGTGGTTCCAAGCGACCCCGTGACCATGGTTCTGCACCATGATATTGTGAAATTGGTTCAAACAAACATCATCGCTGTCCATTTCAACTACAGGATGCAGCCGCAGACGTGTGGCTTTTTTTCCCCTGAAGTAGTAGGCCAAAAGCCGTTCTCAGTCTCCGAGTCTGCAAGGATTCGTGGCATGAGGCTTTCTTCCTTCCAGGTGTCGGCAAACTTTTGAAATAGATTTCCTGATTCCTCAAAGGTTGGAAATCGAACCCATGGTGTGGATGCGATATAAATTTTAACTTTCTACTGTATCTATTTGACGAATGAGAAGCCGAAAGACAATGCGGGTGATGCTCACCAGAAGTCCTCCTGTGGAAACCCAGCTATCATCAAAAGTTTGTGACCGTGCGCCCTCACGAGAAACAGGATGCACGGTTGTCCAAAGCTATTGACGCTCTGGGTCAAGTTCCAGGCTCAGATGACTCCAGCACCTACTGTAACAACTACATTGGGTTGTGGCTGGAGCAGTGAAACACCAATCTTGACACCGCAACTCAGCAACTCAGCGTCAAGGGTTCAAGGCAACCAAGGCAACTCAGCACAGGTTCGTCCAGCCGCCGCAGGGTGAACCTGGCTCAACCTCCCCCAGTGCTTCACCCATACTTCGCATTGTGAAACCTTGGACAGAAAGGTGCAGCGCGCAGCGCCAGCACAGTTGGACCATGTTGGACCATGTTGGACCTACTGGGAGGATCACAGAAGCACCTCCATCAACATTCGGGATGAGATCTGGGCACGCCAACTGGGTTGCTAAATTCCTCACCCCAAAGCAAAACTAAGTCTAAAAATAAGGTATCCCCAAAGTGATAGTGCACCATCATTTTCACCATGAAACTTGCCATTTTGGTTGTATGTATATATACCTCTCATTATATGTATACATGTATGTATGTATGTATGTATGTATGTATGTATGTATGTGTGAACAATTTGATCCTTGTTCTGGATTATCCCTTTTGTATGTAGTACCAGTAATGCTGATAGTGCCGGGCAACCTCAGTGCATGGCAAGCAGAGAGCGGTCTTATTTTCCTCGCGCAGGACTTGAGCCAATATCATTGGCGGTCCATGCATGACTGTACACATGTTCATCATGTGCAGCTACACTGTTACCTCGTTCCCCTTCGCACCCCCCATGCCTATGGCATCTTCGAACCATAGGCACGAGAGTGGGAACTTTGAATTAACTCCTTCTGCTGCTCGAATTACGCCTATGTACATAAAGCAAGCCATTCGGCCCCCCCTTCCCCACATACCCGAAGGGAATAATGGTTCAGGGTTCGCCTACTCTATGGCTGACGATGCATCGGCGATTTATCAAGCTGTACAACGCGAATTATTGCTAGCTAACATCTACTTTTCTACGTTGGCTAAGCTTGCCACTCACCCGTCGGGAGAAATGGGTCACTTCGCTACCAAAGATTTACGATGCTAACTAACGAATTCACGTGCACAATGCAGAATTTCGTGCAGATTGGGAATATCAAAAGTCTTGAACCTAAGCGAATTAGTCTAATGCCTCGCTCAGAGTCCACTCAGTTGGTCTTTTCCTGATCATCTGTTCATAAAGACGATAAACATCTTATAGTCCAGTGACCATTTTGACGGACAGAGGTAATAAGTTCACTGCTCACGGCGGACTTTCTTCCATTGAGGTGTTGATGGAGTTTTCTCCCATCCTGCCGCACGTTTCGGAGCAGCTTTCGGCGATGAGGGTTTCGCAGGCGGTGCCTTTGATGGTTCATGGGATTTTGGCATAGCTTTAGCTTTTGGCGCGCTTGCCGATGAGGATGATGCTGAACCAGTTCCTTCAGGTTTCTGTGAAGGTTGTGCTGATGATTTGGCTTTCGCGTCTGCGGTAGCAAACTTGGAAGCGGCAGTATGTCCGACTGCTTTGAATACTTCACTTACCACTTCGTCGCCAAGAGTTGGAGCCATCTTCGTTTTCATCTCGGTCTTTCCCCTCTGCGCCTCTGCTTCAGCCAGTTGAATAGCATCGTCACATAGTCGCGAATACAGGAAAACGTCCTGTTTCGTTTCTCCACCTCCTCGAACATGCCCTGATCGGCCCTCTCGATGTTGTAGCCCCCCAACTCCCATATGTCGTCGCGGAGGTCAATGGCCTGCTTCATTCTGACCAGATCGGCCTTGATGATCCCGCTCATCCCGCTCAGGTGCGACATGGATTTGAAGTTTTCCAGTCGCATCATCCACTCATGTAGCATCTTGGAGACCATGAGGATGGTTTGTAAATGGACGACGGCTGCCGTCCGCTCCAAGCTGAGATCATAGCTCATCGACATCCAGTCTTCCAGGACATTCTGGACGATGATGGTCTTACCCTGGCTGCTTGCCGCTCTGGCGTTGTGACGACGGAGTGCATAGCCTAAG